AAAAAATTTAAAAAAAAAATATATATATATACATAAATATATATATAAAAAATATAAAACTTTGCTGTACTAAAGCCTCTGAGAGATATGAAAATTCAGCATATGATTTAACCTACCAGCACTCACCCATAACTGAACTATCACGCTTGGAGGACCACATTGTAAATATTTATTGCAGGCTCAACTTGCCACAAACACTGCCAAGAGACAGCTACTCAATGCAAATGGTAGGTCAACAATGTTGTGGCTACAAATGAGAAAGATACTGTTGCCAACATATCTGACTATTTTCAGATTACTTATGTATAAAACCTGAATACTTTCTCTGCACCAATTAAAATGATTTACAGTAAATGAAAAAACAAGGTATGGTCCAGAAATATATGCAATCCAATTAACACTATACAGACTCAATGCCCTTTATAATAAATGTTCACCCAATGTATGTTATACAGATAACAGAACCTAGTGTCAGCCACTGAGAGCAAACCAAGGCTTTTTTAAATGACAAAACACTTATGTTTTATGGCTGGGTATTTTCGATGGGTTGAAACCCCTAATTGGCTCATTTTATCATGTAAGGCCCTCTGTGTCCTAATAGAAAGATTTAGCACAGGCTGATCTCTTCCTTATTAACAAACAATGTCTTCAGATCTTTAACCCTTTGTTAGGACAGACAATCCTGCTCATGTAGTTTACAAGTGATAATTAAATCTGCCAGCACTGTACAGACAGGGTTAATTATTTGAAATAAAACTCCCCCAAACAGTGAGCTGGAGTTAGCCAAAAAAAGCATCGTAAAAAAAGGTAAGCTGCAAGTTTGATTATGCTATGTGAAATTGTTTGTATTGTTAGGAGGGGCTGTGAGGCATGAGGGGTTAAAGGATTACAACCCTGGCTTCTGCATTCAAACGTTAATTACACTAATAAGAGAAACACGATCCTCAAATTTCAGTCCTAAGTCTTTCTTACAGGACAGATCACGGTATAGGTGGCCATACACTCTACAACCATCGCAAGACTTTAGTCTTGCGATGGTTGTAAAGGGATTAAAAAAACGTACGATCTGCCTATCTTGGACAGGCAGATCGCACTCTCGATCATCACAAGCCCGCCCCCCTGAGGGGCGGGCTTCCGATGACCGCAATGCTGAACGGGCAGTGTGCGCGTGCGCACACCGGCCCGCTCGGCATTTGTCTTCCGAGCACCGTTCTAACCAGCCGAGAATCGTACGATTCCCGGCTGGTTTTCGAACATGCTGGTTCGACAGAAGACGTGCGACCGTACAGTAGAAACGGTCGCACGTCCCCCTTCACCCTCCCCCATTATTGTCCGAAAAACCGATCGCATACGATTATCGTACGATAATCGTGCAGTGTATGGGCACCTTAAAGGTGCTCAGTAAAAACTGGAATCAGTCATCCTGCCTGCTGCAACAAAACATTTAAAGGGTAAGAACTGTTTTTTTCTAAATATTTTTTGGTATGCTGTGTGAATAAGAACATACAACAAACATATATAGAGTTTTTTTCAAATTTGACTGCAAAAGTGGAAATATACTTTAAGACAAGGGAAAAAAAAAACATCCAGGGACCCTTGTAGACAGGATTAGGTGACAGTGATGACAATCAAGTCTATGCCTGAATCTTAGGTATTTCTATTTATTTGATGAGAACAGCAGGGGACATCTGTGCAGCTAATTAATTCCCAAGTATACTCAGCCTTTGGCATATACATTTGTATCTTACGGTTTCTCAAAAAAATTGTATCTAGACAAAATCATCCACATTTTTTCTTTGTATAGCTGGCCAACCTCCACTGTCATCATTTTGGATTTAGACCAGACATTACCTTAATCGAGGAAAACATCCAAGACAATGTTGTATCAATAATTGCCGAGCAGCAGAACAAGCACACTCTAATTAAATGATACAGTATGTCCAGCTTCAGACCAAATTAAAGCTCTAGTGGGACATTTAAAATTAATTACAATGAGAAACTAAAGGAGCAGCAAGACACTGCAGACATGCTGACAGAGCACTTCTCCAGACCAAGCCATGCTGTAGAAGAGCCCTTTCACTTTTTCTAGGTTGGGGTTTGATATATATGCCTATTCATTGCTACCTTTACATCACAGTTTTCTCAAACAGTGGGATGTGTATATTCCTAGGGGTACTGCTGACAATTTTTTGGTCTAACTTTGAAATAAGACTCAGAACAATAGTTTAAAGTTTCTGTAAACTAACAAACAGTATGAACAGAAAGCACACAAGTGTACATATAAATAATTTAAAACATAAGGGCTTTCTTAGAAATAAGTATTGTGACGGACCCCCGTACTCTGGATGAGTATGTCCGCCGCTGTCTTCTTCCTTGCTGAGGAGATATTGCAACCTGAAGATCCTTAGCTCCCAGTTTCCCCAGTCACTAGGCGAGGCTCGAGCATAAGGTGAAACAAACTCTGCTTTATTGAGCAACTGCACAAACTTTTATACAGCAAGTGATCAGATCAGATTATAATCCCATCACATCCCCCCTCCCCAGACAATCGGTCTGCTCAACACCACAGGGCTTCCCCTGCTAACGAGTTCCAGTACAATGGGAGATAACGAGGGATGGTGCTGATAGTCTTTTCCTAACCAGGTTACACAGTAATACCACCTCCTGTTGCTGTATCCCAATTTGCGCTGGGGAGGGAGGACGACCACCTCCCCTCCCGTACTGCTGATCTGCCACTGGGAAGAGAGGTTGACTACCTCTTCTCCCTGGAACTTCATCTGCCAATACTGTACATACTAGATATTGCGTGAAATGCAAACATGGTGTGCCTACTTTATATTTTACAAATGAGTAGGAATAAATACACATTCTTTGTTTCTGAAAGTTTACTTCACTTTTATATTGTAATAGAGATGATGCCACACTATACAGTATATGTGCAACTATCACAAATTATATTTGGTGCAGAGATGCACTGGAGGCCTTCAGCTGCTATTGTACAGTGCTGGGTTTCTGATGTGTCTCTGCATCTTTAAAGTGACAATAAACTCAGGAACTAAATCTTAAAAATGCATGCAAGTACATTGGGACCTGGTTCACACCTAGGCGATTTATTGTGCGGATTTAGCTGCAAGAAATCATGCAAAACACAGATTTGCATTCAAGTCAATGGAGGATGTTCACACATTTGCATTGCGTCACGTGGGCGAAATAGCCTTTTCGTGCAAAAAAAGTGCAGGAGCTATATTCGGGCGGTTGTCGCGCGGTTTTAGTCTCATAAACACCTGTATGCAGAGGCAACCACGCAATTTGCATACAGTGATCGCGCAAAAAGATAAATGCTCAAAAATGCATATGACTAGGTGTAAACAAGGCCTAACTATTAACAAAAATGTATCTTATTTGTGTATCACTCGGCTGTAGATCCTCAAATCATCTCTGAATTGGTGCCGACACTGTCCTCAATTCTGGAGGGTGACTACTTTTGCTCTCCATGGTTCCTGTGTGTGTTGTAAAGTAGCCAATGCTCCAAGCTCACTCCTGTGATGGACTACAATCTCACCTCTCAGAACTTTCTATCCAGTACAATATCACAAGGGACAGCACAGTCTCCAGCAGCTGTCCATCTACTGGAAGAGGGAGGAAGGAGGACCAGGGAGTAGGGGACTGGCCTGCTCTGCTGTGCCTGTGTATTTTTGGAGACACACACAGCTTTGTAGCACACACAAGGGTGGCTTAATAGGACCCTGCAAGGAAACGGAGCCACCTAAAGTACCAGCCTATTCTGCAGGAAATACATCTTTAAAGATCAAGAAGCAGCATGCACTGTAAGTGATTTCATCAGCATTTGAAAAAACCTTAAAAACCTTTTGACTTTAATATTACTTTAAAATTGTTGCATATATTATAAGTGCTTTTTAGTTGCTTAAAAATACTTACCAACTTACACCTTGGGTAATGTAAAGGAGGGGGCTGTGGGAAATTATGTTTATTATAATGAACCCTGTCTGTACTATGCTGGCAGATTTCATTATCAGTTGTAAACTATATTTGAACAGAAAGGGTTAAAAGAATTAGAAGCTTGTATATGAATGCGGGGAAACTCAGACTCTGCCCAAGGACAAATTCACTCTTAAAATTGTTCAGAGTAGCCTTCAGTCTGACTATTCCAAGGAAACATCTAAAAGGTGTGATATTTTCAAAATGATTTACACAGAAACATATATTGGATTTTTCTCATATTTGACTGCAAATGTCCAGGACCATTTTGCCCTCATTTTATTTAATACTATATATGCCCCAAGTATTTATTAATGTACGCTAGTATTTATTAATGTATGCAACTAAAATCTTAGTTTTTAAAGTAAATTCTTGAAACAGCGCAGATTTTTTTTCTTTGACAACTACTGGAAAGTGTGCTCACATTTTTATATTTTGTATTTTTGTATTGTATTACAATGTTTATGCCTAGATTAAATCTTGATTGGCCATGAATTCTTAATCTCCTATTAAGACTAAACTTTACATAAATTAAACGATTGTTGCACGTAGTTTGGGAGATTCCAGTAACAATTGTTAAAG